ATGCCACAACAAAAACGATAACTGCTTTCAAGTGAACAAATTTTGAAGAATTTGCCTCACTTGAAACACCCGAAAAGCCATACTCGGAGCGAAATTGGAAATAAATTTTAAATTGTTTTACATCACAAAAATATAATCATTTTAACAGTAAATTTTTGTAATTTTAATTCACTGCTAAAAGCATGTCAAGAACTAAACTACTCCATATTTATGAAATTATGCAAATCTTCTTATTCAACCAACATTAAAATATATTCCATGAATTGTCTCCAGCTGTCGTTCACTCATACATTAAGTACTATATTTGCAATTCGCAAATTCTAATCTGCTTAATTGTTTATTACTGTATAATTTAACAATAACAACCAACGCAGCAGCTGCCTGAACACTGAGCCAAGCTGACTAAATGTAAGTTAGGCAAGCAACAAAGGTAAAAACAACATAAACAGAGAAGACATCCTCGAATGAGTGAGTGGGCGTGTAAATTTACTAAAACGGAGCATATGAATTAGGCGCCAATATAAACAAAAAACTGCAAGCTACAGGACAAGGTGATTAGCATTAGTCAATCCCTTTTGCTACTTTTACCTTTCTGTTGAATGGATATTTTGCGGTTAATGCTTTCAAACTTTTGCATCGGCTTCTACGAGTAGATATCTTAACTTGCAAGTATTAGGGTATTTTGGGAATAGCAGTCTTCCTTGCAACCGCCAAACAAAATTTTGTTCATTCGCAGTGGTTGGTTCATTGAACATAAATAAGGTTGGCGACTTTTGTGATGCTGTGCTGGTTGTTGTTGTAGACAAATGCTTCCTTTGTTCGCACCACAAACAAGCGCATGAACTTTGAATATTGACGAGGCTAGACAATGCACGCGACTAGCTGCAAATGCGTGTGTCACTTGGTATGAACGAGTATGTGTGTATAGTGACCTAAGTACCCTGCAGAAAATCTGACCAACTCAGAACTAGCGTAGAACTAGACCTTTTTCCGGCAGTACTAATTCCAGCTCAATTCCCAAGCAATGCTTTCAACTGTCCAGTTTTAGACGGCGATGTTATTGGCCCTGGCAATTGTCGCCTAGTGCATTATCTTGCAACTAGTTTTTAATCGGTTCCGTTTTGGACAGTTTTTTTTGTAAGAAAACGTTTTCCGTTTTTTCTTTTATTTTACAGAAAAAAAATAAGAATTCTTTTAAGCGGCACGCAAGAATTTAAATTTATTAAATCTGAAAACTCGCAGCTGCCTTCACCGCGATTTGAACTCGCGACCAATGAAGTTTGAGTCGGAGATCTTCTTGCTGAGCCAATTTCGTATTGTACGAGAAGTGAGAATTTGTACACTTACACCGCAAGTTTCAATTGTCCCACTCTGCAGCCGTTTTGCACCAGTTCAGAGATAGGTCTGAAGTATGTAGTTCGGAACTAGCGCTTTGCCAGGCTGTCTCTAAATTTTACTGCAGGGTATATATATATGTATGTATGCATGTAAAAGGTTTATGTATAGTCTGGCGCTTAAAAGCACGTACAACCTGTAATTCCTGTCATTTCGGCTACTCAGCACCTAGCTGATAAACTCCTAAACACCTAATAATTTACCGAGTAAGCTAAGGGGTAACTGCTTGCTGCTGCTGCTCATTGACCTTGCATTGCGGTTAGTAGTCAGCAGTTGGCAATCAGCTTGAGCTCATGTACGTACATATGTACATACTATGCACGTGTGTGTATTGAGTTTCGTCTGGCAATTGACAGTTCTACTTATGCCCGCCGCCAAAAGCCACCTAACTTCGTTTTTGTACATTTTAGGCGTGAGACAACTTTTTAAAATAAGTAATGCAGAGATTGGTTGACACCACAAAGAGTCAAGTTACCAGTTAATGACTTCCTATCTGCTTTGCTGCTGTGAACTTTTGCTTTGTGTTTGCTGCTTAGTGTTGGGTCGACGACACTTACGCACACATGCATACATATAAATACAAAGGATTTAGCTGTTACAAAACTTTTGTTGTTCGGCAGCTGGATGCTGCTCATTGTTCCCGCAACTCTTGAAGTTACTGAATGTCGATTTACTTTTAAGATTCCTTTGTCTTTTGGTATAACTTAAAACTTAGATGTTAAATGCAGTGGTGCATTAATATCACGGATTTATGTAGATATATTTATAACGCATACTTTAGTGTTATATTTCAAAGTTCACAACTTTAAGTGCAGAAGTAGATTTTCGGGTGTGTTTTGTTTAAGTTTTCATATTCTTTGTAGCTTATACTCGTAGATATGACTTCAGCATTGGATATAAGAAATATTCAGAGAGAATTAAATCGGTAGAATATGCTGGATGTGGGAATAGGTCGTAGTCAAAGTTATGGATCTTTTGTCATGAAGCAATGTCGAGCCCATCCAATAGCTCAGAATAGAATTCATTTGCAATCGATTTTACCGTTTTTATCGAAATCGATGCAAATGACTTTGGATGTATGTATGTATGTATGCTATTGCTGTGGTGCATTTCGCAGGGAGCAATCCACTGCTTTCACTTTTCCTTGGTCCCTAGTGATAGGTCCATGTCTCGTGTACGGTTACAAAATGACGAAAAAACCGGTGGGTCCCGTTGTCTATCACTAAATAGAATTCACATGGCTTTTAAAAAAAAAAATTTTAATAATATACTTGAATATATTTTTCTCGAATATTACACAAATAATCATTCAAGAAGCTATTCCCTTATTTTTGTATGTTCATACATAAATATGTATTAAAATTAGTATATCGCCTATGCATACATATCATTGCAATACTTTGTCCCATAGTATTTTTCTTGTTCAATATTTAAAAAATGGTTCATTCAAAATAACATTTCTTATGCCGAATTTCCACTAGGCATTGGAATTACAAAAAATGTATGCCATTTAAAAAAATGCCAAGTGGAAATGAACTTAATGACTCATTTTTCAATGTAATGACACGATTATTTTTTAATGCCCGACTTAATCATTTGTCATTTTTGCCATTTAATGCCTAGTGGAAACCCAGCATTAGTTGTACTCGTAGGGGTAGCTGGCTATAAAGGTGTTGTATTGAATACAATTATTAACAAATTGTAACAGTAACCGTACATTTTTAATGATACAAGTATTATTGTAACGTAAGCAATTTAACAATCGAGTGAAAAGAACCCAAAGGATTAAGGAATTCAGCGATTAATTCAAGGATAATCGTAACAATACTGACAGTAACGACATTTTACCATTCCTTGGCTATTTACCTTTCGTATATTTAATGTTTTTTTTTGTTACGAAAGTGTGGCTCGCTATCTAACAAAAACCATGTTAGTAAAAATTTCAAACTTTTTCATTAAATATTCTGAGTATGCGGTTTTGTAGCCCATTAAATTTTATTTTAATGAAGTGCAAATTTTAAGTATCTAGAACTTACTATTGATTTTTGGAAATTTTTTAGTGGAAGATGCTGCGGATTTTCTCCATACAAAAAAGTTTTCGTACATACTTTGGGAAAAAATGCGTGAACAAAAAATTCTCAAAAGTCAACACTTACCTTGCACTTTATTATAATAAAATTTAAAAAACTGCGTACTCAAAAAAATTCTAAAAGGTCTGATTAAACAGTTTCAAATTTTGATGAACATTTGCGAAAAAAGTAAAAAGACCGGCCAAGAATCGGCCAAAAACGGCAGTGTCACACGGTTGGTACATTTGTACTAACGGCAGTGTCACACGATTTGTAAATTTGTACAGATTTTTATATTTTTTATATTGGGCTATTTGTACAAAATAAAAAAATTGGAACGAAATTTTGTTTTTGTAGTTCCCTAGTAGGGCATCCAATCCCGAAAATGCGGGGTGCCGCAAACGCTGCGGCAGATTCGTGTTCAGCGAACCCAAAAACAGATAAAAACAAAAACAGAATAATCCATAATCACTGATGCTTTAGCTAGTTTTGGGATTACAGCGAGCGGGTGTTGTTTCAGATCGAATAACACTACAGTAACCCTTCTTATGATATATATTCTTCTTAAAACAACCCAACGAATAGAGCGATTTTGACTATATACCTACAAAACTATGCATAATCGCCAAAATCGAAAGTTCCTGATTGTGCAATAAAATAAGGTCGAATTTAAAAGATTAAAAAAAGACTTCATCATTCCTTCGGAAATATTATCAAAAAAGTCAACCTAATTAAAAGTAAATACGTAGACTTTCTAAATCAAATCGTCTTTTTTACATGTAAATTTTTAATATAACTGCTTAGAGGAAATAATATGATTTTTTTCCGGCCCGCTAGTCCCGCGGATCCGCAGGATTGTTGACCCCGATCCCGCAAGGATGGGATTCCCTAATTGTTACAATACAGCGAACTTCTATCGAATATTTTGAACAAATTCTTTTCCGTGATTGGGATAAAGAAAAATATTTGTGCATTCACACTGACTTTAAAAAGTAACTATTTTTAACTTAAACAAAAAATGTAGATGCGTTTTTTGTCCTTGTCGTTGTAAAGCTCATGCAGCCTCATCGCTCCATCGTCTGTGGTTCTCGCTGTCGCCAACGCGTTTAGACCCGTAAATCTTCCGCAAAACCTTTCCACCGAATACTGCAAGACCCGCCTCATCGGCTGTCGTCATTGTCCATGCTTTTGCGCCATATACCAGCATAGAATGATGGTGACTTATTGAATGTGGTTGAAGTAGCTGCTGACCTTAAAAAGCCAACACACCAGGGCCCGATGTGGGACCTTACGATTAGTAAAAACACTATGGGCCAATTTCACAATGCGTAGTTAACTCAGAATCTGGAGTTAACTACAGAATTTTGTACTGAAAATCTCTAGTTAACTGTCGATTCTCAGTTAACTACGCACTGTGAAATTGGCCCTATATGTACATATTGATTGTATTTACATAAGACAAAGCTTAATTTTCCATTTATTACCCTCCTTTCTTAATCTCCATAGACTTCATATCAAAACTCGTGAAACAGTGAAATGCATTTTTGGATCGATAAGCGCTCACAACAATGTGGCTTTGGAAGATCACGTGTTGCGGCCTCACTCTCAGGTGCTGGAGGGTCTGGTCTCAGTTTTGGACATCCACCACGACGCATAAGCAGCGGCAGTGGCAGTAAATCGAGCAGTAGAAGCGCACTGCCAGACTGCCATCACAGCAATGTGGCTGGCAGCAGCGGCAGCCGTAGTCACCAATATCAACATCTACATCAGCATCAACAGCTACAACAACAACAACATCAACAACATCAACTGCAGCAAGCAAGTAATAACAATAATTTCAATGGTGGCAACAATTGCCAGCAATCACATACGCACAGTAGCAACAATAGCAATTATACTCAAAGTAACAGCAACACCGCCAATATCACCGCCAACGCTGCCAACACTGGCGCTTCTATACAATCCACCACCGCCTCGGTGACGCTCAACAACAATCCCCACCAGTATGGTTACCAGCAGACGCAACATCATACCAGCGGTAGCGGCTCAATGCTGAGCCACCACATGCCTGCTAATAGCAATATAACGAACAACAACAATGCCACCACATCTACGTCCACGGCTACAGCAGCCGATGCGCGCGGTGTTACGCCCGTAGCGCAAAATTTTAATCAACGTGGCGCTGCATTATTGCAAAACACTGTTGGCACACCAAATACGCCGCTCTATCAGCAGCACACAAATCATTGCTACGATATGCGCAGCTATCATCATCCCCAGTTTGGCAATATGTCGGTGCGACATTATCAATATCCTGGCAGAAATTGCAATGGTCCAACACATACCAATGCTGCAAATTCCGCGGCACATGCATATCGCGGCGGCGGTAACAGCAGCACAAGAACAATAGTTGGCGTTACAACTGCAGCGTCTTCAATGTCCACTATGCAACATCTCGATCAAATGCCATATCGACAACAACATGCCTTCAGGTACTTGTGCAGCAGACATACATGCCACGTTTGATTTATTTAATTATTCACTTTCATTGCAGCCACTGCACCACTGGCCCTGCTCAGTCGAATGAGTCGATCATGGGCGGCTCTGCACCCATTTCCACCAATACCACAAACACCGCTAGCTACGCAGTGGCTAACACAGCGCATCGCTATAGCTCCGCCGCCATAAATATGCGCGCCAGCAATATGACTGTGGATACGGGTGGCGGTGACGCCCAACTGTTGCCCTCACATCTGAAGTGCGGCATGTGCGCTTCGTTGGTGCTGGCTTCCGTATTTGTAGCAGGCGCTAAATTTTATTTTGACCATCAGGGCACCGGCTTGGAGGTGTTGATCTTCTGCGCTTTCTCCGCCACATTCTTTTTAGCCGCTTGCACTGTTTCACTCTGCCGCGTACCGAAAGGCCTACTCCCGAGTGGTCGCAATGCTGTGCTCGGCGCGCAACAGCGCACTGATGCTGATAGTGGTATGCATTGTACGCGTGCTCCCTACGGCAGACGTGATATCATGAACAGTGATGGAACTGGTGGCGGTGATTTGGGCGGTTTGGATGACATACATGGCGCACCGTTATGCGGTCAACTGCAATTGATTGAGGACTCGGCAAGTGCTGGACCACCACCATATCATATAGCAATCTACTTTCCGGAGACAGAGAACAGTGGCAAGGGGAAAGAGGCACCGATCGATGATGAATCACCGCCGCCGTCCTATGATAAGATACTTATCTAAATTTAAAGAGTGATGTATAGAAGAGAGATGATTTTTACTATGGCGAAAGCCTATTAATAATCTGATGTCAATGATATGACAGAAATCAATCAATCTTCATTATCTCATATTGAACATTTTGTATATGTACATACATACATATGTATGTATAAGTTATATCTTCCCATGACACATGTCTTCCTTTTACGAGTTTTTAGGATTAAACTTTAGTAATCATATTTTTATATTTTTTTGAATACATTCATTCATATACATACATATGTACATACATATATGCAACGTTTCATTGCCTGCTTTAAAAGCAGTAATGTAAGCTGGACTTGGATTTCGTCACGGTTCTTGAGTGTAACTTTACATGATTCCACGACTATGAAGAAGTTTTGACAAAACTTTACCATAAGGTTGGTCTAATACTCTAAGATGATTCAATTGAAAACATTCTTGAGTTTGTCTTATAAATAGTCCGTGTTCTTCGTTCGTACAGAAACGGCCAAAATAAAGTAGGGAAGCCTTTGCGGCAAAGTTACAGTATTATTTTTCATTGCATTAGATTTTTGAGTAGATTAAAAAAAAATCGACTACAACGCCCAAAAAAATGCGTTTTCTAATAGCGACCACAGCAGGGCAGGAATGGCAATTCTACGAGTATTTTTCTGGCATGAAATGACTTCTCATAAAAACCGTCAGCCGTTCGGAGCTGGCGTAAAACTATGGACCCCGCGATTTATGTGATATCTTCAAGACACGCTCCACAAATTTGAGGGCAAGCTCGGCCAAACATACAACAAAAATATCTGAGTGAAAAATGCACAATACGCAAAACGCAATACGTGTGCAGAAAACAGCACTCATACTATTTGCCGTTCATTGTACTGCTTTCGTGTGCCTTTCGTGTATGCTGTAAATCTGTGTGATTTACGAATAAACTTAAGCAGATTGCTGGGTGTCAAAGAGCTCAGCTGTCCGTCTCGCAACACATCGCGGCCGAATGTCTCATACCTCAATTCTTGCAAGGCGGGGCAGAAGCACAAAAGGTCTTCAAGGCAGGATGGGCAAATGTAGTTCTAATGTATTGTCAGCAGTCCGAACAATTGTCTCCAATCCCGTCTGCTCAGTGTGAGATCAAGGAATTAAATAGGACGTCTGAGATTGAAGGCAACATGCATTTGGCACATCTCCAGCCCGCCAATGCCTCCCAGTAATCGCTGAGCGAAGTATTCAACCAGCTTCCGATACTGGCTTCGATGCAATCACTGGTTGTAGACGGCGGAATGAATGGTCTGAGCTAATTCTGGTCAAATGATCAGATATTCCATTGCCAGGTACTCCCGAGTAACCTGGCACCCAGAGTAAAGCATACTCGTTATGTTTACCAACCAGCCTTCGTTCCAACCGTATTGCATTGATAACTCATAGCAATTTTATTTGCTATGGCTAACAATATAGACGGACATGCAAATTTTAACTGAGATAAGGCTGGACATTTCTAGTCGAATTTTTGGATCACTGAATTCGCATCTGAACTCAGAATTGCTCTATCATAGGTTTTTCAAATATCCTAACCTAGTTAGTTAGTTAGTTAGTTAGTTCATTTTCTGGGCGTAAAAGAGATTTTGTATCTCTTTAAAGGAGTCCATAATCCAATGTGGCCAAGATACCTTCGGCTTCGCTAATGAATCCTAAAAGGGCCTTGGTAGACGAATTCCTAATAACAAAGGGTTCGACCATCGAAGATTTAAAATAAATCAATCTTTGTCTGGCTAAAGCCGAAAAGTGACAGAAAACATGCTCCGAAGTTTCATCAGCCTCGAGGCAGAGCCGGCATTCCTAACCTGCAGCTGAGAAATTTTATTTTGAAATTTTCAAATATTTTTCGAAAGGCTCTAAGAAAGGGGCAATGGTGAAATTACTTTAATGCGAAATCCTCGTTAAAAAAAGATCTTTCGAGCATGTGATAGAGAAAGATATATCCTCGAAAAAAACCTAATATGACAGAGTAGTTCTGACTTGAGACTCGAATTCAGCGACTTAATCTCTGTTAGAAATGGCTAGCCCTATCTCAGAAAAAATCAAAGGTTGAAAATTTGTTGAGTAGTGTTACCAAATAAAATTTTGTGGACATTTGGCACTTTTTATATTCAACCGGCTGTCTTCACATGCTTGAAAATCTAGCTTGCGTTCTGCTCTTTTTTCTCGCAAGCGAGATAGAATTTTTTATGATTTTTGTGTCATGGAATTTTGTGGCCAGGGCAATTTGGTAGCATACTTTTTCATTTGTAAAATGTCGTCAAATAAGAAGGTTCGAGCTTTTCAGGCCAAATTTGTATATTCTACCAAAATAAACGATGTTTCCACTCTGAAGAATTTTGCGAAATGAGCAAATACCTGCCAGATAACAAAAATTATAGTTGAAAGCATGCGAGGAGAACTCGCAAACCGCTCGGTATGCTTCGTACTTTTTGCGGTCTACATGTGCGGGATCTCGCATGCGTCATCACGCAAGCGCGATTTTCCAGCACGTGAAGATGGCCGGTAACGCAATAGCTCTCCAGGAATAGAATTTTAAAAGTGGAATAGTATTTTAAAAACAAATCATTCACGCCTTTAGTTGGTGGATCAATGGATTTGAATTATAAAATGTTTAATGGAAGCTGAGAATTAATTTGTTTAATATCGAAAATTGCTATAGGCAGATAAAGTATATCTAAGTCTTGTTTTTTTTTTTTAAATTTTGATAGAAGTGAACAAAGCTTGATAACTTTGATTCAAAGCACATCTCTCTCTCTCTCTACTAACTCTCTAAAATCTCTGTATGTATGTATGAACGTACGCTCAATATTTTTTATACACACTTTTTTATTCAAACTAAACTTCTACACAATAATAGTAATCAACAAATAATATTAAGATATAATCATGTTGTACACATAGTTGATAAGTTGCTAATTGCACTTTAACTAAAAAAAAAAATATATTAATAAATTTATAAACTATTTATAAACTATCAATGTTAGTTGGTATGCTTGTAAAAATAAAAAGTACGTGCATATAATAAGTATATAGCGTTAAGCTTAAATTATATCGAAAAAGTGTAGTTAAGGTAATGCAAAACATCACAGAAATGCGTACTTTATCAATTACAATAAACATAGATGTGTATGTGTATACATACATATTTACATAAAGTAATACATACGTCTGTAGATACATAGTATGCATAAGCAAAAATAAAAATGCCAAAAACACAATAAACCTAAATCATTATACATATGTAATTACTAAATACATACATACATACAAATTTGCTAAAAACGAGAAAATTTCTTCTACTAATTTTTAAGAAACAAAAATGTGTAAGCATAGCTTTAAGCGAGATATTGGAAACAAAACAGACAATTATACAATACATATGCATTATAAATGAATACTGCGATTGGTAATTTTCTATAGTTTGACCAAAACCTGTCATTTGGTTCTGTGATACGATATTTACGAGTAAAAAAGCCATAACCTTTCTAATTACACACAATTAAATAAGAATATATGTATCCCACTACACTTTTGTAGACAAGCTCCAAAATAAATATAAATATTGGATAAATGTGTATATATAAACATACACACATATGTATGTACTTACATATGTAGATCATAAAGACATACTTCAGGATATGTTTAAATACAGTCTTCAGATCTAAGTTGAAGCATACAAATAAGCAGATCAGCGCACAGTGAGATAACGTATGCACATATGTACATACATAGTTACATACAAACATACATATTTTATCTATAAGTAAAACATATGTACATAGTTTATAAGTTATGTATATGGTTTGGAGAATGCGTAAGAAGTTTTCAGGAAAAGTTATTGAAATACATCCGTATGATCAGGCGATCAGGCGTATGCATGCATACACTTATTATATGTTCTTACGCACATACATACATAGATATTTATTTATTTATATATATATATATATATATGTATGTATGTTGGTAAGAAACTATTTTAGAAGTGTGGTAAATAATCGAATATCTATAAATTCAGTAATAAAACTAAATTACAATATGAAAATACTTTTTACACGATTAAATACATATGTACATATGTAGCATATTCCCAACACAAGGTAGGTAAAAGGTTTTAGTTCCAAACTTATGTGGTATCTTGGCTGGTTTGATGTAAAAATTTATTTATAGCAAATTCTTTATTTAGAAAAAGAACGATCCTTAATTTTTCTATAACTATAACTGTGATGACTATATCCCTAAGGTGCGATAAGTTCTCGATCACTAATCAAGATACTTAGGGTATTTTAATGATTAGCGCAAAATAAGCATAGGCTTATATTTAATACCTTATATGTATATACATATTTGCTATTTTCACAAAAAAAGTAACTTCTGATAAAAATCTATCTGAGCCGTAAATGTCATCGATCATGTTAAATCTTTCTGTTCTGTCAACATCAACATAACCTCCAAATTTTGGTTGTAAATTTTTGCTTATTTTGTATGTAAACACACTCAGCTCACACATGTAAATAACCAAAAATACTTTCAAATTCATTAGAATCCACTTAAATAAGTAATTAAATACTTTGCAACATGAATTAGCAGAGTGCACTTTTCTTTTGTTTACAATTTGGTTGCCAAACACACTACAGCTGATCGTTTGACACATTTACCAGAATTTACCAGCAAAAAATTCTCGGACTAAAACTGGTAACTTCTGACAGAGAGAGAACCGTATTTTCTCTCTTTTTTGTCCTCTCAATAGTCAGAGAACCGAGTACGGGATCGATTTCCAGTAAAATCTGACTGATTCTGACTATTTCTGACTAATCCGGACTCGTACGGGATCGCAACTAGTGATACACGATCTGTCATTTTTGGCAATGATCGTCTAAAATAAATATCCTTACAAAATTAAGCAGCTGCAAAGCTACATACACACATAAATGCGAGACGGAAGTCAGAAGCAGCAATAAGCACCGTAGTTTCAATTATTCAGAACACCGCCGAATGTTAGCTTTCAGCCATCTGATAGCAGAAATGCTCAACAGAAACCAGCTTAAACAAAGCTGCGGAAAAATAACCATATGATTATTGTAAATTTATGTACATACAAAGGTATTGTCTTAATAACAATATTTTAAGCGCTTTGGAATTTTGTCGTATTATGTATGTACATATTTATATTCCTGGCATAATGTGCTTAAATGAATTCAACAATACAAACAGCTGCAACAACGCGCTTAGTGCAATGTACTGGTAAATAAACACCGACCGGGTTATTGACATTTAATTGATAATTTTCAAGAACAATGGACTACATATGCACAATATCGTGTACAGATTCTTAAACAAGTAAATTTTAATACAAGATATACATATGTATGTGCGTTCTCACGACATTCGAGTCCACGTAGCTGGAACGACCCAGATTCATATCTAGCCAAGTACCTACTGCCACTTCAGCAAACTCTTTGGCGAATGTATTCTGCAACAACAATAACAACAACATATGTATATGTACATAAATTGTGTATACAAAATAATACTTAATTAATATTTACAAGTAACTTTTGCAACCGCCCACATAAAAAAGAACGTTGACGTTTTCCAACACAACACTGCTACTACCGGAAATTGGTTCGGGACTCGGTTTTGGAATCAAAGCCGGAAATCGGTTCGGCCATCGGATTTGAAACGTTACGACAACCCGGTTTACACTAGCTTGCGGAAACCCTGTAAACCCAAAAGTCTCCACTTTTTCTTCCATTTGTATACAGCGTTGCCGTTTTGATACAATTGTATAATTTTTGATATTGACATTGAAACTTTTTTGTTCACAAGTGCCCCATTTTGTTACTAATACATTTTTTTTAATACATTAAATGTACGTCTATACCTGTGCTCTGGCGCTCGCATACGAACCGTCGGTTTTCTCGCATGCGAAATTTTATCATTGTACGGTTTTTATAAATGCTGCGAAAATCGTATTTTTTTGCTAGCTTGTGCCTGAACAGCGTTCCCCTGAATAACACCACTTCTTTCCTACTCGGAATCAAAGCAAATATGAAAAAGTAGTGGCTAAGAACCATAGATAGTTTTGCGTTATATGGTATCGTATAACTTCTGTGATGAACGGTCTACACCTGCGATATTTCTCTTACGATGTTTCGCATGCGAGCGCCCATAGCAGTTATAGGCGTGCACTTAAAGAGTCCGAACACTACGCACTTTTCAGTCAGCTTCTCCAATCGTCTTCTAACCTTGTCCATTACCGCAGAACTCCACAGCGAAACACCGATGGCCTACTAACTGTAATTTTGACGAGCAATATGATTGCAAATTTTTGTGTGTGGACACTTTGATGGCCTGAAATAAGCAATTGCAATTTCGATGTTTGAAAACACTTAAAACATTAAAAAACTTTCATTTTGAAAGGTTTCACAATTTTTTTTAAAGAATTTTCTTTAAGATATCGTACGGAAATTTCTTTACTAGATCTTGCAAACCTCTTCATATGTTTTTCTTTAAAGATTCCTAAAAGAATCGTAACAAATTTCCGATACTCTTAAAGATTTCGGGAGCATGTGTTTGCAGGGTATATATGTATATACGTATATGTGTATGTATACGCGGATATGTAAACAAAGCAAAACACGATAATTTGATACAAGCGTGCTCATGATTCAATAATAGGTTCATTCCTTATCTTTTTGGACTAAAATCTGAAAAGTGTCAAAATGCCAGAGCGTAAGCAAAATGCGCTCACTAAAAGAGAGTAACAGGAAAAGTAAAGGAACGCAAAAAACCAAATTTTTAGTCCAAAGAATGGCAACAACAAAACTAACGTCAAATAAGAACAGAAATGTATGTACAAAACACATTCACACAAGCACAAGCACAA